CACACACACGCACACACACTCATGCTCTTTTCCCCCGCTAATATGCTTATCTCCCCCTCTCCTCTCCTTTCTCCCCTGCCCTCTGTAAAGGGCACCACACACCGGTGGCATTTCAATGTGTGTCAAAACACTCACACGTATTGTTTTCTATATAAGCCCATATATCAGGTGTCACTTAAACCTCCAATGATGTATCTTGTCAGGATATCCTGCAGCATTACTTCCCACCTGAAAATCAGCAGTCCCTTGACTACTTCCTACTACTACGACGTCAGTTCACTGTGAGCTACGACCATCAAATGATGCAACTGCACACGGGTGTCCCTGAGTGTTCTGCTATGAAGGGTTCTCCAGACAACTAAACTTTTTCACAATTTTTCTGGTGTTTTATGGACCAAACAACAAATTGAGTAATTGAAAAAATAATTGGCAGATTAATCGATAATGAAAATAATTGTTAGTTGCAGCCCTAAAATCAATTAATGCTAAAGCAGGTAGTCGATTAATTGCTATTGATCCACAGAAAATTAACAGTCAATAAAGTCAAAAACAATTACCTTTTTATTCATTTCGTGTGAGGATCTGTTGCTTCACTGTTGGTTGAACATACAAGCCATTGGAAGATGTCACCTTGGGCTCTGTGAACATGCATTTTTCACTATTACTTGAGACTTTATAGATTAAACAATGAATCAACAAATAAATGGCGTAAATAAATTACACTAATGATACTTTTACTTCAATAAACAGTCTGAGTGTGAGACGACTGCATGTAAAATAGCACCAGATTAACTGGTTTTGAACATTATGCTTTCATTTTTTAGTGAGTTACATGACCAAAATGTTCTCTGCAGTGAAAAACCAAATTCAAAGTTTAAAAACAAAAGCTACTAATGAAATCATCAGATTTTCAGATTTGTTTTTCTAATTCAACTGAATTTAGAGATGCAATCACTAAATGTTATCATTTATTATAATGATTTGATTTGAGCTGGAATTGCCCTTACAGACTGCTGCTGTGAATGTTCAATCTGTGAATGTGGCAGCTGTAGGGTTCCAGCATCTGCTAGAATGTATATATGCAGAGCACAGTGAAGTGCTTGCACATGTATGTGCTTCTCATCTTTACGCACAAAAACAGACACAACAAAAGCCATCCTTTGTGACTGTGTTTTTATGGTCCATTAGAGGCCTCTTGAACCGTGGTCCTGTATAGAAAAAGTACTGAACCATTACCGTTATATACCTGTTCTCTGTCTTTATGTGTCACACTAGATCTACTGGATCTGTGACATTATACACTACATTTAAGCCATAGTATTCATGACTCTTGAAGAAAACAGCAGCCCACAATGCAATAGTTGCAGTATGTTTGTACATTTATGAAACTGCATAATCCCTCTGTCTCCTTCTGTTTTCTCTTTCTCTCTCTCGTTCTCTCAGGACGGGAAATTCACCAGAGCTGAAATCATGCCAGGAGATCCGCCACCAGCGAACATTGTGGGACAGTCTTCCTTTGTCGACTTTGGTGAGAATGACAGAGATTTGTCATTTGCTGTCATTTTTGACGAGCCTAGTGTATTTGTGTGTGATTGTGACAGGGTAACAGTAGGAACCCTTTAAATCCTAGCATTGACATCTACTGTGGGGATTTGGATTGTAATTGGACAGACTCAAAACACATGAAGTCAGTGTGTAAACGCACTGAAGATGCTCCGAAAACCTCTGAATGTAGTCTGAATTGTACTGGGCCAGAGTATACTAAAAAATGTCTTGCCCCTTATATCTCTGTGTACGTGTGTGGCAGATCCATTCCTCTCCTAAGTCCTTTAAGCTCCCTCTGCATTTGAAGCTGTGTAGCTTCAAAGACTTCCAAATAGGACTGTCTGGTTTTTTGGGCTTTGGCATTTTCACTACAGCTCTCTCATCCCATAACTTTCTTTCCCTATACACACACACACACCACAAATGCTCACCCCTTACCAGACAGGCTAATCTCACGCGTGCACACACAGTTGTAGACACACACTCCCACACAACACACTGTGATACACACACTCTATCCTACATCGAGCCAGATTTTTCTCAACAGCTTATCCCTTTAAACAATCTTGGCCAGTAGTATTCATTGTTCAGCTCAGCTTTACATTTATCCGCAGCAAATCTCTGCTGGCTCTCTAATCTCCAGGCTGCAGCCTGTGCACCACAAAGTGGCCCCTGGTCGCTCTTGTCAGAGCTACCACCTCAGCCAAGCAAGTGGCAGAGTTGTGGTGGCTCTTGTTTCTCAAGGTAAATACCAGTTAGATTTACAGTACAACAATTGAGTAAAATGAGGAATATCTGGATGGAAATGTTCATGTGAAATCCAGTACACAGTATATAAGTTCATATTACAGAAGTGACACAACAATCTATCCAATGTTTGCTACGGGGTCCAAAATGAACACCCGCCAAGGAGCAAATGCGGGTAAAATTAAAAAGCAAATTGGGGTTACCAGCCAATAAATAATGATCACTGCGTAGGGCCAGGTTTACATTGCTGTGTTTTTTATGTGTACCGGCTAAGAGTAAGGTGACCCTCACTGTACACGCACACAATCTAGCACACAACAAAACACTTACCTGCAGAGGCAAACTTAAGTTGTCGACAAACAATCTTATTATTTAGTTATTCCAACAATCTCCAACTTGCTGGCATACCTTTCTATCTGACCACCTCCCTGCAGACCAGGCAGGGAAACCCCGTACAATGGCATCTAAGGGGTTTCCATCAAGGAAAAAAAGTTTACCATAGTTGCAACTCAAAACTCCTTGTTATACTGCTTTAAAAGTACCTATTAGGGCAATGATGACGCAAAGTTTGCTGGACAGACAAGCTTTTGTTAATAGCAACAGACAAAGCTTCATTTCTGAGTGAGTTTAATTTGAAAACTTTATTAAGATCAGCAATTACTAGTTATTGCTTTTACAGTGTTATCTAATCTTTAAGATTTCACTTTCTCCAGTTTTTTGTGCAAAGTAATGATCTCTGGTGTTTTTGTGTTGTACTTTTTGGAGTTCAGTTATACATTCAGTATCATATGATATTTTTTCTTACAGCTGTGGTCCTTTTAGAGAGGAAAGTTAGATTGTCTAAACAAATCTGCTAATTTTCAAACTATGTTCTCAGTAATTCAGGAGAAGCAACACAGGACTGCTTAATGTCTGGAGGGGAAACACTGCAGTGTGTCTACTTATGTGACAGCACATTTCTTCTGCTGTATTGATTCTAGACAATCAAACCCAAATGGAAAATGCATCTGCATTTCCTCTGAACCAAAGAATTTTTCCAGACAAGGCCAGACACTGAATACTAAATCAATCACCAATACAGAACTACAGACATTTATCTGTATGAAAATGCTATTACTTTAATTATGTAAAAATATATATGATAAAATCAGGTTTTTCTGATTTGTAGTTATTTTGTTTGGTTATTGCTTTTTTTCTGCACATTTTTTTTCTTATAACATAAAGACCCATCTTTTCTTCATTTTTCCTGTGTGACCTTATCACTCAGTTTGAGCTATGCGCTGACGTTAGCTACGTAATGTTCGATGAATTTTTAATTAACTCTTGGGCTCGTGTGGCACATGAGCACACAGACACACACAAGTGTGCAAATTGAGCTTCATACTGACAAACACATCCTTATTGGCAAGATTAATCTGTTAATCTCATTGCAGCTAGGGGTGTCCATCAAATATTTAGTGAACAAACTTCCCCTTCCCAAATTGGCAATAATGTATGAGCCAGAGGGGAAATGACCTATATGCTCTGTGTGTGTGTGTGTG